TCTAGCCCAGACATTGGGATCGACATCATCTGGGACAAGAACACCAGAGTGACCGTCATACTGGATGAAAAATGGAAGGCCTGTAACTCAGTCTTTTGTTCCTATATATTTGTATACACAAACTGTATTTTTGCTGCTAGGTTTTTAACTTTTACTATTGGGTAATTTCTAAGCACTAGTGTTTATCTCAATTGGAATAGTTCAGTAATATTCACTAGTATATGGTTTAAGCTGGTATCTCCACACAGCATTACTGAGCTGAGTGTACCTGTGAACCCAAAACTGTACAATTAGCACATGTTCTCCAGAAAGATACTCAACTCCTTTTCTGTCAATAATAGACAAAGGTGTGCGGTCTCTGTGGAAACTTTGATGACAATGAGATGAATGATCTGGAAACACGAGCACTAGCACTGGTGACCAGTGAGCTGGAATTTGGGAATAGCTGGAAAACTCAAAGCCAGCCTTGTGCCGATGCCGTCAATGACACATTCATCTGTAATCACGACTACTGTGCAGCCTGGGCAGAACATCGCTGCCAAATCCTCCTCAGTGACTCCTTCAAAGACTGTCACCCCAAGGTACAGGACTGCCTTTATTTCAGGACTCCCTCATCTCACAGAAATTGCCTCATTACTCTTAGGTATCACAGTGACTTGACTGCAGCAGTCATTTCACGTGTAGCATTTTAATGGAAATACTGATTTGTTCTGTAGGTGGAAATAGATGGTCACTCACAGATCAATGGCTTGTAATATTAAACCTTGTGGAATTAATGCATAGTATAATTCTACGACATTAAAGCCCACACTGTTTTTTCTCATCTATCTGTTGTAGGTGGACCCTCATTCATATTATGCAGCTTGTGTGAGGGAATCGTGCTCCTGTGATTTTGAAGGAAAGTTCCTGGGTTTCTGCACTGCTGTAGCATCCTATGCAGAAGCCTGCAGTGAGCATGGTGTCTGCATTAGCTGGAGAACACCGGATCTGTGCCGTATGTGTCTCCATCCATTTTAATTTCTGTTAAAAAGTATAGAAATTCAACTGCCTCTTATTTGTTATGTAATTATATTTAACCTAAAACATTACAGGAATGAGCAGGGTTGTGCAAGCAGTTTTCCTGTATATATCTTTATATATCCTAAATACTTCTCTGCATAATCTTACTGTTTACCTTCATGCCAGCGGTTTTCTGTGACTACTATAATGAAAAGGATGAGTGTACCTGGCACTACCAGGCGTGCGGCCCAGTAAAAACCTGTGGAAAACCTTTCCCTTTTACTGGGAAGCTGGAAGGTAACAGTCAACGTGCTTTACATTCACACCTTAAATTAAACATTTCATGTTTTTCAGCATTTTGCTCAGAGAAATATGACATATTTTTATAGGGAAATTTGTTTAGCAGAAAACCCATTGATGTTTTTGTAAATGCCACACAGGTTGCTACCCAAGATGTTCAGAAAATGAGGCATATTTCGATGAGAACAGAGGAAAATGTTCCTCTTTGCCAAACTGCACTTGTTACTGGAATAATGCTGTTTATCTCCCTGGTGCACAAATAAGTGTCCCAGGCATGGACTGGTAAGAAATGTGGCTGTAATGATACTTAATTGAATTACTTATACTGATTTTGCTGATACGTTTGGTTAATGATTATACATATGTATTTTTTTCAGCTACTGTACCGATGGAAGTATCACATGTCGTATGTATTACCTATTATATATTATTTTCTCATTTAAATTTCAAGAGATGTTTCTTATGAGTTTTACATGTACATTGCACTTCCCAGTTGACCTTAGTGACAGATTTGTGCCTCAGCATGTGTTAGATGCTGAGAGAAAAAACAAATACAGTGTTTGATACATCGTTAAGTGTAGAGAGGCCTTAAGATGGAAATCAGAAGGTAATAGATAGAATTCAGTCAAATGAAATACGGGTCCAGGTGATAGGCCTGTTTTTTTAATGCTTTTTCTTCTCACCTGGACATACAAAGATGGATGTTCGTGAACTTTTCTGTCTTCCTGCTGCATAACATTTTCTTGACTGAAGCTGTGTTTTCATATGTGATTAGATCCTATTACTACTACAACTGGGCCAACCACAACTGTGACTAAACCAACTACAACTGGGTCAACCACAACTGTGACTGTATCAACTACAACTGGGCCAACCACAACTGTGACTAAACCACCTACAACTGGGTCAACCACAACCGTGACTGAATCAACTACAACTATAACTGAATCACCTACAACTGGGTCAACCACACCTGTAACTGAGACTACTACAACTGGGCCAACAACTGTGACTGAATCGACTACACCTGGGTCAACCACAACCGTGACTGAATCAACTACGACTATAACTGAATCACCTACAACTGGGTCAACCACACCTGTAACTGAGACTACTACAACTGGGCCAACAACTGTGACTGAATCGACTACACCTGGGTCAACCACAACCGTGACTGAATCAACTACGACTATAACTGAATCACCTACAACTGGGTCAACCACACCTGTAACTGAGACTGCTACAACTGGGCCAACAACTGTGACTGAATCGACTACACCTGGGTCAACCACAACCGTGACTGAATCAACTACGACTATAACTGAATCACCTACAACTGGGTCAACCACACCTGTAACTGAGACTACT